TTATGACCCCGGCTTGATATGCTAGACAGAAAAATGGACAGGCCAGGCCAGTCCCTCCCATTCTTTATGCCCCATTGGAACAAAACTATTACTGCTTCAGTCCTTTGGGGGTCTCGCTCATTGTAGCTTTTGGAAACTACAATCCCATGGGCAAGTGCCTTAGCCCGCAGATCTCCACCCTCTCTGTCCTGTGCCGAAAGCTGTTTTTCCACAGGCAATTGCTGCAGTATCAAATCAAAGAAGAATTCCTCCTGTCCACTAGGGTAGGAGAGGAGCTTCTATGCCAGGGGCAGGCAAAATGCAGCCCGTGGGCCAGATGCAGCCCGCCAGGCCATTCTATCCGGCCCGTGGGGCCCCTAAAATATTTAGAAAATGAATATTCATCTGCCCCTGGCTGCCTGTCATGTGGCCCTCGATGGCTTGCCAAAACTCAGTAAGCAGCCCACTGCCCAGAATAATTGCCCACCCCTGTTCTATGCCATGAGATGGTGGTGGGTAATTATTTTGGCTCGAAGACCACTTAGCAAGTTTTGACCTGTCGAGGGCCATGCACACACAATCTTTTAGAAGATGTCATTGTAACATATTATAGATAGAAAAGCAAATATTATACTAAAAATCAAATGTATATTATATCATTTAATTCAAAAAATATTTTTTCCTGATTTATGTGCATTTGAGCAGTGCATATAAAGGCAATTGCATAATAGCTCAAAAGAAAGTTTTATGCTTTTATATTGTGTATAGGGCGTGAGGTGTGTGAGCTGCTGCCTGTACAGTAGCTCCCAGGAGCTTGCTGGGGGTTGGGGCAGAACGAAGGACAGGGGTGCATGCAGCAGAACATGCCTGGCAGTGTGGTGCAGGTGTGAGCGTCCCCACCTTGCCTGCCCCAGCAACGCTCTGCATAGGGCTAAGCCCTGCCCAGGGCGGCCTGTGCTGGGTCCCTGCCCTTGTCTGGCCAGAGCGCACAGCTTTCTGGCAGTGTTACTCCTGGTGCAGTCCCAGCCCTCCAGCTACTACTCAGCTCCTCTCTCCCCCCCCCCGCTCATCCTCTTCCTGCTGCCTGCTCCAGGTAGGGTTGGGGAGCTGCGGCTGAGTGGTTCCTGCCCCACTGTGCAGACCTCCAGCTCCCAGCCGCCTTCCACCCACCCTGCTGCCTGCAGGTGGCTGCTCATCACTAGGGGTGGTTGAGTGGGTGGAAGGCAGCTGGGAGCTGGAGCCCAGCACACTGGAGCAGGAGCTGCCCAGCTGCAACTTACCTCTCACTCTCCCCAGCCATGCAGCAGGGGTAGGAAGAAGAGGAGCCATGGGAGTTGAGGGGGAGCCAAGCAGTAGCCAGGCAGCTGCATCTGTGCTGGGAACAGCTGCGGGCTGGATCCAATTAACTGGCGGGCACCTGTCCACAGGACAGATCCAGTCAGTTGGGCCAGATTTGGCCTGTGGGCCTTAACGTGTCCGTTCCTGCCATAACAGCTGTTAGGGGTAGGTGTCTGGTCTCTGGGACAAAATCTTTGTCTTGTGAGACTTAGTGTTGTGGTTGGCTTTGTGCCTAGATCAAAGAGAAACTTCACAGTGAAGCCATCACCTTACTGAAGAGTGGAAGGTTCAGAGATGTCTTTGTGAAGCCATCACCTTACTGAAGAGTGGAAGGGTCAGAGATGACTTGGATAAAGCCTTGGTCTTATGTCAGATGCACAACTTCAAGGATGGAGTCCTCTACCTCTATGAACAGGGCAAACTGTGAGTGCTACTTCCCGTCCCCATCTCAACCCCCCAGTGACTTGGCTACAGACCTTTCTGCTCTCCGAGGGTAAAGGTCCTCTGGGAGTTTAAAACGGGATCCTACCTCAGGTGACAGATTTACATGGATCCATACTGTTTTAGAAGGGCAGCGTTAAGTATAGTAGGAGGGGCTGGTTCTCTTTGGTTGGCATTAGTGCAGGAGGGATTATGTGGTTGCTCCTATAGGGACACCAGGCTGTAGTACAAGGGAAAAGTGGATTGACTAACTAACTTACCCTTCCCTTCAGTTTTCAACAGATCATGCATTATCACATGCAGAATGAGCAGTACAGGAAGGTGATTGAGGTATGTGAGCTGTATGGAGACCAAGAGGCATGCCTCTGGGAACAGGCTCTCAGCTATTTTGCCCGGAAGGAGGAGAATTGCAAGGAATACATCACAGCAGTGCTGAAACACATAGAAAACAAGAACCTCATGCCTCCACTGCTTGGTAATGACCAAACCTACCACAAGAGAACAGGGATGGGGCATACTCCCTTTAGACTGAGGGCTTGAGCAGAAGTATACTAGCTGAGGACATAGTAGATCTCATACTAATGCAGCTAGAGACCATGCAAAGGCGTAGCTAGTTCCCTTGTATCGTGTACCGAAGGGTAAAAGAGTAGAGAGTAATAATATACTTCCTTGATTTAAAGACAGGAACTTTGAAATAAGTCTCACAACCCATCTGTGAGGTGACAGCCTTATTCCTGTCCTCCAGTGGGAAGTCAAAAGCACAGAAGTGAATTGTCCGAAGACCCAGAGTGAGTTGGCAAAGATGGAATAAAATCCAGATTTCCTTACTGCCAGGTCCCCTGCCCTAGTCACCCAGACATGATCCCTGCCACCTCTTTATGGTTAGTATTTCCTACCAGATGTTCCAAAGCTTAACTTTTTTCGTTACATCAAGAGGTTGCCAGTATAGTAAAACCATCACCCTGGCCTGTATGTGGCATTTTTGAGGAGAGCAATGTCTTTTTTGCAAATCCCTGTCTGTTTCTGTACCCACATGTTGGTTATCCTAGTTGTGCAGACTCTGGCTCACAACTCCACAGCCACGCTATCTGTGATTAAGGATTATCTGATCAACAAGCTGCAGAAGCAGAGTCGTCAGATTGAGCAGGATGAGCAGAGGATTCAGAAGTACCGTGAAGAAACCACAAAGATCCGCCAGGAGATTGAAGAGCTCAAAACAAGGTTGGACCTCAGGGTTTCTTGTCTTGTGATAGGATGTCTAGTTCTTCACATTAAGAAAAAATATTTTCTGTCTTTTACCACCCTTTTGCTCCCATTGTCTCAGTCCCAAGATCTTCCAGAAGACAAAATGCAGCATCTGTACAGGTGCCCTGGAGCTGCCGTCTGTCCACTTCCTGTGTGGCCATTCCTTCCATCAGCACTGCTTTGAGAGCTACTCCGAGAGCGATTCTGAGTGTCCCACCTGCATGCCGGAAAACCGCAAAGTCATGGACATGATTCGAGCCCAAGAGCAGAAGAGAGACCTACACGATCAGTTTCAGCATCAGGTAGAGATGTCACCATCACTGTCTTCCCTTTGTGCTTGCTAGGTTTTAAATAGCTGTGGGTTAATAGCACAGGAGTTCAGGCTTCTGCGTGTTGTCTGTGGCACCTGTTGGGAACAGAAGGCAAGCTGCTTTGCAAACAGGGTCATGTTGACTCCAGGTAATAGAGCACGGGGAGCTGAGTGACCTGTTTCTAAGATGACTTTTATCCACAAAGACTCCTTTTGTGGTCTCAAAATGGAGGTGGAGATAATCTCCTTTCAAGTACCGTACCTAAAGCAGCTGTTCAACAGTGCACAGGAACACTGCACAGTGGCTTAGGCCATCAGATGGCGGTGTACTTCAGGGAGGAAAAGGATGTTGGTCACAGTGGAATTGGCTCAGAAAAGGATCTTTCCTCCGCCTGGGTTGAAAAGAATGACTTTAGCATGCAGAGCTGGCATGTTCTAATGCACACACTGGAAAATTGTGGGTCAGGCAGCATACACCCTTACAGGAGCCAAGCTGGTCAGGTTGAAAGCCCAGCATTCAGCTTGGTGCGTTTACCCATAGATTCTGTTCCTCTCCTAAAGTAACATGATAATGTGAACAGCCTTAGGGGAGGAATATCAGTTTTTACAAAACCCTAGTGTAGCTGGGCACTGACAGGAGGGTCCCAGGATGCTAACAGCCCTGCTTTGCTTGCACGTGACCCAGCTGAGCTGCCTGTCTTCTGAATGCGGCAGGGCGGGTAGGAATGCTTTTGGATGCAGGATTCAGCCCCCTGTTAATCTGATGTCTTTGTTCCCAATAGCTTAAGTGTTCTAATGATGGCTTCTCCGTTGTTGCTGACTACTTTGGTCGTGGAGTTTTCAACAAGCTCACCCTCATCACAGACCTGCCGCCAGGCAAATCTGCTACGACTATTGATGCTGGTTTACAGAGGGAACTCCTCATCCATACGAAACGCAGCACCTAGAGTCTGCTCCCACGTCGGACACCACCCTGCTGGGTCCTTCTAGCGTGCCATGCGTATCTTGAGGGACTCGGCTATTGCATCTTGATTTCTTTAATTCCTCCAATGACTTGTGAACCTGCCAGGGAGGGAACTGACTGGAGATAACTTAAGAGGAAGACGGAAGCTACCATGTTGTTAGAATATATAAAAAATAAACCCCACTTCGGGCAAGGGTTTGAGCCCAGCTCAGGATGCATTAGCCTTAGCTTGCTTCACACCCTGGCCCCCTCGTGCCCACCCCAGTGCGCTGGTGCAGGGTTGAGTCCTACTGCAGGTGTCGGTGGGAGCAGGGGCAGTGGCGCTGCCCGAGCCCGGCCGGTGCACGGGCCGCACCAGGAAGCTTCACCCAGAGGCGCTAGGGGTGGCTTTTGGCGCTTAGGTTGCAGCGGCTTTGTCCCCCGCTTGTCCCCATGGGAGCCCGGCCCGTTCCC